ACCTGTCCATTGTATATGCTCCTGATATGTAATTTGATTGAAAAGCTCAAAAAAGGAACTTTTTTCAAGTGAAGTATGCAGAATCTAACTGCAAGGCATTACCTATATCATGCATGTTTATGTTATACACGCTGGAGTAAATAGACTAAAAATATTGGGAAGAAATAATGGATTTTTCTAAGTAGTTCATGGCACAGATAGTCTTCTGACATTTTTTAAACCTAGAAATATTTTTGAGAGAATAAACAATGAATCAATCTGTTTATCACTTTTTGGATTAGTAAATTAATCACTTGTACTTTTTTTTTGTTGACACTCAGTGTAAGTTACAGTTAGAACACAGATTTTCACTCCTAATAAAGGGAACACTGTACAGCAGAAATACAGTAAAAAAAAGCATTTTATTTGGAATGGACATTCAAATGCTAAAAGCAATTTAAGACAAATGTTTATCAAAATAAATACAAATATAGATATTACAAATAATTTAAATGGTTTCACCCCTGCAGGTGCTACATGTTCTTTGCATCTCATAAATAGAAAAAAAATCTTTTTTTAATGCAAAGTTGGGTGTCTTGGACGTACAACCTTATTCTTTGCCTTAAGTCTTTTTTTCTTTTCTTTTCTTTAAAAAAAGTTCTTTGGTTTATAAATGCCTCTAAGGAGAAGCTTAGCCATCTGATCACATCTGGAAAAAAAAATCTAGGTATAGTAGCATCGTTTGTTTTCCTTCATTGGTATCCTGTCCTGGTGCAGTGTATTTGTTATCCAGATGTATAATCTATTGAAAGAAGAAGAAAAGAAAATTGTTAGGGATACAGGAAAAATGCAAAACAGCGAGTACTTCTCCCCTTTTTTTAAATCTAATGCCTGAATAGGATTTACTAATACAGTAACTGATGACAGGCACAAGCAATATATTGCACTGGGCTTTAAAGTGTTTAGAAATTCATTTTCACTCAAGAATAAATTCACTAGCTCCACTGCAACCTGCTCCAAATTATGAATAGGAACAGATCTTAAAAGTCTGCATTTGCAAACCAAGCAGTGCAACTTCGCACAATACATATTAATCACAGTCAGCATTATCAAGCCCAATAAAATTTACTTCTAGGTAAAGTACTATGGCAATCTCATACACACTTCCTTAGTAGCAACCAATACCAAGTTTGGGTTTAAGAGCTTTCACAGAGAATCGCACTGAACTTTCCAATAAACAAATGGAGAGTAACTTATTGAAATCATTTCAAGTCTCCCAATGACTCGGGATAATAGTGCAAAAATGTAGCACCATCCGGAAAGGTTATAAAAAGAGGGCTATATATGTTCTCAACTCTCTGAGCAACATTCAAGGCAGTATTCAGCAGAGAAATTTTGGGAAGGCCAGTATCTCCTGGCTTCAGGTCTTGTCTCAGTAAACCAAGCACAACAAGCTTCGGAGAAACAAGGAGAGGGGTGGTGGTATTTCTTCCCTACTCCTTCAGTGACTCAGGCAAAAAAACAAGCAGCTCCTTTTGACAGAAATTCTGCACCACAGCAGATTTCAAACTGTTCCTCCTCTGTAGCTGCCTCCGGTTCCTGTCACTTGAATCTCAAATATGTTGCAGTCTCTATTCCAATGAATGGACTCTTTTGAGGCAAGTAGCTTTCCAGCTAGGAACGTGCTCAGAGTTACCCTTTGTGTCTCATGCCTTGTGCATCTCGGGTATGTACAGCTATAGTTTAGCCGTTATGATTGTTACAAACTTCCCCTCTTCGCTAACATTTTCCTCATCTGGACTGAACACCGAGACAAATGTAGAGCAAAGTTCCGCAGTCCTTAAATATAAATTCTTATGGGTCTCCGCTCCCGCAATAGACCTAGCAGAGAGGGGAACGAGCATAGCTTTCCCAAAGTTCAAAAAGAAGAGGAATTGCCTAACTTTATTTCAATCATGTTGTTGGAGAAGCTTTACTTCCAACATTCTCAGATGAGGAACGAAGAGGAAGAAAGAAGTTGAGACCGAGGATCAGAAACGCAACCTACTACTAGAGGTCAAAACAGCGGCGATCGCTCACCTCGGCTAGGCTGGTCCGCGCGGGACTGGCCGGGCGCGGGGCTCAGGGCGCCCGAGCCAAACGCCGGTCCCGACTGCCCGCCACCGCCTGCTCGACGGCCTCCTGCCGGCTCTTGAAGTCCTGGATGGCGCGCTTGTTCTGGAAGTCGATGAGCGCCATGGTGATGGAGGCGTTCCAGCAGCTCTCGCCCGGGCACCGAAAGTCGATCTCCTTGCGGTCCGTGGTGACGATGGTGAAGTAGACGTACTTGCCGGTGCGCTCCACGCAGTCCACCTTCTGGATGGAGCCGAAGCGCAGCTCCTTGGCGCGGGCCTTGCCGCCGCCCTCGGGCGAGAAGAGGCTCAGGCTCTCCTTGCTCAGCACCACCTGCTTCTTCTTCCACAGCTGGAAGAGGCTGTCGCTGCGCTTCTCCAGCTCGCCCTCGCGGATCACCTCCGACGCCGGCCCGACCGACGGCCCTTTCATGCTGCCCGCGCTCCCGGCCCGCTCTCGCTTTGTTGCTGCTGCTGCTGCTGCTGCTGCCGCTGCCGCCGCCGCCGCGCCACGCGAAAACGATGCCGGCTCTGCAGTGTCCGGGTGCCTCCGCTGCTCGTGCTGCTTTGCGGCCGAACCAACCGGATGGGCGCCATTTATGGTCGTTGGGCCTGCCCAGGCCCCACCCCGTGCTTGCCGCCTCCGCCTTTCAGGGCGAGACGAGATTGAGCCGGCTTGGATGCCGGTGGGTTTTCTTCCTGCCGCCCCCTCGCCTGTCAAGCCACGAACAAAACCCACCCCGCCTCCCCTCAGCCCCGCCGCCTTCAGACCGCGCGAAGTGGGGCGCGGCTGGATCGGTCTCCCTCGACGTCTTTTCGGCTTCCTGCCGCTCCTTTCTCGGCAGCGAAGTTTATGAAGCATCCCCCCAGCTCGCTTTCGGATCGCCCACCCCATTAAAGGAAGTTTTGCGGCTGCTTTCCTTCCTTCCCGAAACTCCCAAGCTCTTTTTGCTCGCCGCTTCCTTACAGCTCTGAGTAAAATAATAATAATAATTTTTAAAAAGCCTTTGGGATTTGGGCCCCCAATGGTTGGCGTTCATTATTCTTTTTACCAAATATCATTAGGGCTTCACATGAAGCACTGATAAAATTATGTGGCAGAGATGCCAGATTTCAGAACGCCTTTTCCCCCCACCCAGAACTCTGGATCGAGAGGGAACTAAAAACTACACAAAGTCTTCAATGTGCGACCACAATTGAGCCCAAAATTTTGGTTGCTAAGTAAGACATTTGTTAAGTGAAACTTGTTCCATTTTACGACCTTTCTTACCACAGTTGTTAAGTGCAGTTGTTAAATTAGTAACACGGTTGTTAAGTGAATCTGCCTTTCCCATTGACTTACCTATTTGTCAGAAGGTTGCAGAAGGTGATCGTACTGCAACGGACACAAATGTGAATCAGTTGTCAAGAGTCTGAATTCTGATCACATGACAATGAGGATGCTGCAATGGTTATAAGTATGAAAAACTGTCATAAGTCACTTTCTTCAATGCCATTGTAACTGAATGATCACTGTCGTAAGTCGAGGACTAATCCGTTTTCTTATGGAAAAACTCTACCTGTAACGGCATCTTTGGGGGAGGGCACTTTCCTGTAAATCCTATGATTGTGTTTCTTCTGGAAATATGGTAGCACCCTCTTCTTTTCCTTTTATCCTATTTTATTTACTCCAGAGTAATAATTCTTATTCCCATGTCTCCTGTTCCGCAATTTCTTAAGGCGATTTTCTACAATTCTTAACACATTCTGTAGAGAAAAAGAAGGAAAAGCTGCTGGTGTGGCTTAGGTATCTCTTGACCTGTTCACCCAACATCCCATAACCAGATGCCGAAATGTTCCAGCAGGTGCATTCACGGTACAGGTTAATTTGGTTTGTTTTAATCTTGCCTTGTATGTGTTTTGGGGTGTAACTGGATTACAAGCCCAGTGGGTTTGGTTAGTTTCAGTATATTGAGTCAAGTAAGATAATGGGTTAAGAGAATTGTGTGACTGTGACTTATGGGAGGAGGATGAAGAGGGGGATCCTGAGTGTTATCTAAATATTTCTCAGCTAAAAGCTTGCTCAGCTTTGTGTCAAATAAAGATTAGAAATTAAGAACCGACTCCATTCTTCATCAGGCATTATACCTTGTTCTGACTTTTGAGGCCAAGATCACAGTTGTTCGCTCTTGAACAGACACGACACACACTCACCTCTGTTTGATTTGTACTACCTTTTATCATGCACTACCTTTTATCATGCACACCTAACCCATAACACACAATTTATCACACGTACATAACCCAAGAGAAAGGGGTGCATAATGAAATAAATCTTGACCCACCAAACAAGAAGCCGATTTGTTGCTTCTGTCCTGCGAAATGTGTATTAGCAACGCAACAATCGTTGTTTTCAATAGGAAACTATGGTTTCCATTTCTTCCAGTGGGTTTTAAAAACAATCAGTAGGATCCACACCCGACCAAATATGCAAAGGATCATAGCTTTAATTTCAGAAGATCCGTTTGCAAGAAACAGTTGGGAAAGAAAAGAATTTCTCCCATCATTAGTGACAGTGAAATTCACCAACTAGTTATAGTAACTGGGCCATTGCATATACACAGAATATTCAAAACTGGTGCCATTTCCTCTCTCCTCTAATCCTATGATCAGCCTGACATATGTCTTTCTGTTGTGTGACATGTGTTCCCTGCTGTCTTTTTGCTGTTCTCAAGCCTATTGTTCCTTTTCCACAAGTTTATCCTGGGCTTTCCGTTCCCCTTTGCCTCACTTGTGGCTCACAGGATGACTGGCCTCAGGAATGCAACTGTCGCCAAGCCCACAGGGTCTGACTCAACTGCAGCTCTGGGATTCTCACTGCTGGACTAAGTCCACAGACTCTGGAGTCGGCGTGTGACTTCCTTATAAATGTCATTCTTTTTCTTTCCTGTAGAAAAGCGAAAGGTAGAGGCTGGCTGGTCTGCATTCTTTCACATTCTCTCTGTAATGACCTGTAATAAATCAATTAAACCAATTAACTGTCCCTGGCCAATTTCCTTTTTCACAGGCCACGTGGACTGCCATTTTCTAACTCACAATGAAGGTTCCTATTATCTCAAAAGCAGGGCCAAAGTTTGCCATCTCATGAGCAGAATGGAGTGGTCAGGTGGGACCAATGGTGAAGAAAATATGGGAGAGGCAATGAAGGGTAGAGCTGTGTCCCAGGTTGTGCTCTATTAGGCATCTCTCGGATGCAATGGAGATTGTGTTCCAATATCCATCCTTGAAATGAGATTTAATCCAGTCAATTCCTACATATAGAGGGGAGAGGGGCACAATTTTGTCCAAATGTCTTAACCTAGTTCTAAAAATACTTCAGCACTAGCAGCTGTTTTTTACAGCTTAGAAAGAGGGAGAAATCACATCTGCTGATATTCTATCATACAATGAATGTGAGTATAGTACTGGGCCATTACATGTACATGAACTCTAGCTATCTCCATGTATGTTTGCAAACCCAGACAATACTGGGCCGTGCAACAATCCATGACTAAAAGAAACATGACTTGGTATGATGTGTGAGCATAATCAGCTTTAAAAGCAAAGGAAAATATTTCAAGGACACATTTTTATAGCTATCGCCATTATAAAATGAATTATGCCCATAACACAAAGCCTAGTTATCGGTTTGTATGTGTTTTATTAGATCAAGGTGTGCTACATTTACAAGATTATATTTCTTAATTGTATAAATTATGCTGAATGTGTTCCAACTATTCTGCATTTTCCAGAAATATCCTAAAACACTGGGTACAGTAGCCATAGATAAGAAGCCTCACTTCAGTAATTGAACACAGAGCTGGGAATCTGAGACAGGCATTTTTATTTCGCTCTCCATTGGAACAGTTTGCCTGCAGAAATCATAGGTGCTTCATCACCAGAATTTTTTAAGAAGAGACTGGACAGCCATTTCTGAAATGGTATAGGTATATGCTTGAGCAGGGGGCTGGATTAGAAGACCACCAGATTGCTTTGCTTTGCTTTGCTTTGCTTTGCTTTGCTTTGCTTTGCTTTGCTTCGCTTCGCTTCGCTTCGCTTCGCTCCGCTCCGTCCTTGTGTTCAGGGAAGACCTGGAAAGTGGCTACAACTTAGCTTGACTGAAAGTTGCTAAAGCATCCCTGTGTATTGTGCCAAAGACAGTTATGTTGCTTTTCAGAGTTTCTCCACCAGCACAGCAGGTCAGGAGCAGGATTAGTTTCTAGGAATATTGAAGACAAATCATGTGACCATATTCACATGATATTATAAAAGCAATTATCTGTAGGGTTAGTGTATTGTCCAGATCCAAACCATAGGTCTGACTGGGATAAAAAGGTAAAGGGCAAGAGTTGTTTCCCACATTGTTATATTGGCTTATAGTTATAATCCAAGATTTTATAGACCTAAAAATTGCCACCCCTCCAAAGAGCCTTCTGCTTCTTTACTGCACTAAGTGTATGAGAAAGTGAGATTACAATTGTTTGAATACCAGAGAGTTGATTCTCATTTTACACTAAATGCCACTCATCAGAATTCTCATGTTGCTACTTGGACTCCTTTTCTAATCAATATTACTAATCTGGGAACAAAAACACTTGCTCCTTTGTTTATGTCCTTCCAGCCTGGTTGGTTGTAACAGGTATCTGACCAAATCTGGACTTTTTGTGTTATCTGAAGCCAGATGAGAGGGTTATACTATGTTTTTCCCCCCAGCCTCGAGGCACAGAAATAGGAAACTAGAACAGCTGCAGAATGAGGCCATTTTAGCCATTACAACTGTCACAGTAAGAGTCATCATAGTCAATTTATTAGAGGAACTACAATTTTACAAGTGTTTGCATGAGAAATTGAAAAAAATACATTTTTTTAAGTAGTAGGGAATAATAGAGAAGTGTTGTGCAAATCACTTATTTGGAATCATTTTAAGAATGTTCACAGCCATTCTACCCATTACCATCATTATTCCATTAAATCTAGAATCTAAAGTTACTTAAAAAGTAAAGGTTTAGATAAAAGTAAAGGTTTCAGAAAAAGTTATCTTCATGACTGAGATGACTTACAGGCCATGGTGACCATGTCCTTTTTGCTGTTGTTTGCATTTTAATTCTCAAGAACACTAAAATAAGACACAGTTTTATGACTTGCTTATATATGGTGTAAGAGCTACACTCCACTTCTTTTAATCAAGAATCTCAGTTTTAGGCAATTAGAAGTCAAAGCTGTTGGTTTGCTTTGCAGACTGTTCACATAACTTAATAATGTAAAACAAACAACCGGTGTTTTGGTTCAACATGTTGGTTTTGTTCATACATTACACTCTGTCAGTGTGATTTATTTGGTTTTGTGTTAGGCATTATAATTTATAAACTATCGTTTGATTTTGGGTTTTGTAAAAATACAGTCAATACTCCACACATTATTTTAGCCACCACCATTGTATTACTTACGTATTCAGAATTAGTGATCTAATCCTACAAAAATTAATCACAGTTAAGTCTAGCACATTTCATCATATTGAAATTTAGACACAACTGGCTTTGCTAGATAACAGCAGTTGGCAGGTGTTTTGTTTTAAGTTTTTCACCAATGTTTTAAGTTTCCCTCTT